GGATAACCTGGCTCTTTTCCTCTTGAGACAAGAAAAAAGATATGCTATCCTGGCCAGTTGTATGGTAATCAACATCACTAAGATAATTAGGGGAGAGGGTGGAAGATCAGAAAGTCCTGGTGTGGAGGGAGATCTGGGTGCGAATCTTACATACCAGAGATGCTGTGCATCTCGGGAGAGAAGAGGCAATTATATATTTTGTTGAGAGGGACACAGCACAGTTGGATGATCGTGCTATATAATAAGGATATTTCATGACAAAGGAAATAAAATGACATGTTTTTCCCAGGCCAACGAAAGTTTTGTGAAGTTCTGCCAAGTCAACAACATCGGGATTAAACCTATATCGATGTAGTGAGAAGGGATCCAATGAATTGAGTACCATAAGCTTGATGGCTTAAGTGCTTTACGATTAAATATGTCCATGTCTGCACGATAGGAGGATTACAGTTAAGGGTGGCTGCCCCACTATAGACATAGTCCCGCTTATTGGAATAAGTCGATTCCTAAACCTCGACAATTTGAACAATGCCATGATAGCTTCCACAAGGCAATTTCTTTCTTTTGTATAAATCGATATTCTGAGATGAACAATCATGATCCGGCCTCTTCGGTCGCGCCCGCTGGCCACCGCCTATAGGGCCAGCTGCAACCAACCAACCCGATGGTTCTGCGCAGCGAAGCCTCGATTGTCCGAGAAGCTTCTGTACCCAGAGAACCGCACAGCGTCGCATCATCGCGACCTCCCCACGTTCTTGGCCTACGCTAAGCGGTCCGGGCTCGATGAGAAGTCCACGGTGTTTGTTGGCACGCATTACGAGTACACCATTGCGGCAGCTCTCTCCAGGTACGGCTTCTCGCTCAAGCGCGTCGGAGGGGCGTCCGACTGTGGCGTCGACCTCCTCGGCACCTGGACCCCGCCGAAGACTAAGCGGGCGATGAAGACCTTGGTGCAGTGCAAGGCGGGCGCGCAGCGTGCCGGGCCGAACCTGATCCGCGAGCTGGAGGGGGCGTTTGTCGGCGCGCCGGTGGGCTGGAGGGGGTCCGGGGTCCTGGGGCTCCTGGTGAGCGAGAGGCCGGCCACGAAGGGGGTCCGGGAGTCGATGGGGAGGAGCCGGTGGCCGATGGGATACCTCTGCTGTTCCAGGGAGGGGGTTCTGAAGCAGATGATCTGGAACCACCGGGCGGAGGAGGAGGGACTCGAAGGCTTTGACGTGGCGACCAGACACGTGGATGGGCAAGAGGGTGAAGAAGAGCTTATACTTCTTCGGAATGGAGTGGTATTACCGTTGCTCGATAGGACCTGATGAGGCTCTGAAAGCGGCGATTTATTTGGGAGGGAACGGCCTACGGCGAACGAACGAGGAGTACATGATGAGTTTCCGAAACGCGAAGTAGACTTTAGGAGTTTTTGCTGAATTACCTACGGTATTTGATGTAATAAAAATTCATCGAAGGAATTGGAATGGAGGGACAAGCCTATAGCATACGCCTACGATGGTTAGGCAAATGGGTTATCATTTACGAAATTGTAGAAGACATCAGATTTGAGGATCGAGGCTTCGAGTCAGACATGAGTATAAAAACAGCATATTTCTAGTTGATCGCTCCCAAAGTTCTGAGGTGATTTACATGAGCCTTGGGATCTCTAATGTTTTTTCTGTCCCACGCTGCGAGATTGAGGAGCAATTCAGGTAGTATTGTCCTGTTACATGTGTATCTAGCCTACTTACTCTTAGATAATTTCTGATTCCCATCTTACCTCTGATGCTTTTGATGAGTTGCGCAGTGCCATCAGGGCCTCAAGCACGTTCAAGAATTGGTCGGTCTCGCATCTCGACCGATATTAGGAAAGTGGGAATATTGGGAAGATCTTGCCATTGAGCTGATGAGGGAATGGGTAATTGACCTGATGCGACATGGGGATGCGCTGATGTAGCCTTACGGAGCGCAACAATGTGCGGAATGCTTCCCGAATACGTTCTGATTTCGGCATGGCGCGAGTTGATCAGCAGGCTCTCACCAGATGTTAGATTTACCGCGCGGCTTTGTAAGCATGCATCGGACGGAAGTTGGTGCGAATGGCCCTCAACCGCGCGCTGGTCTCATGGCTCGGAGACTTTACTCCCCTGAAATTTGTCATCTGGGCACCAGGGTTCGTATCGAAGTCCACGGATTCTGCCATCTGGACGCTGCTTGTAGGGAATGTATGCAAGTCCACGGAGTTTTGTCGTCTGGACGCTAGGGACGATGCCGTCGGATGTTGCCTATACGGACGGGCTGGTGTAACAGTCCCTTGGCAGAGGGGCGATATGGCACGCCTCTGGATGTAGTATAAAAGGCATGGAAGAGCAGCTTCTCTTTGCATTGGGTCAACCAGATATTTCAAGCACAAAAAACCTACCCGACACTGCTTTATTATAATCCTCTGTATTCATCCTCTACCAGAATGTCTGACATCAAGCCTCTCACTGTCTACGCCCACGGTAGGTCCTTGAGTCGTCGTGAAACATCCAGCATTCATGTGTGCTCACTGAGGATTTATAGGCGTTGGGCCCAATCCCATCAAAGTACTGATTATCCTCGAGGAGCTTGGAATTCCTTACGAAAAGGTAGGACCTTTCGTTCTTCTTCGCATTTGAATTTTGCACTGATGCATAACGTGTTAAGATCGAGGTCGACAATCCCAAGGCCGAGTCGTACACCAAGATCAACCCCAATGGTCGAGTGCCTACTATCATCGACCCCAACACTGACCTCACTCTCTGGGAGTCTGGTGCTATTATTGAATACCTCGTCGAGACCTACGACAAGGAGGGCAAGTTGACCGTCAAGGATGCCAAAGACAAGTGGCACCTCAAGCAGTACTTGCACTTCCAGATGTCTGGACAGGTATGCGGAAACACCATCGCTCTTGCAAGATATGAGCGACTCTGACAAGATGTAGGGCCCTTACTTCGGACAGGCGGTCTGGTTTCACAGATTCCATCCCGAGGACGTCCCGTCTGCCAAGACCAGATACGAGGAGCAGGTCACTCGTGTTCTCGAGGTCCTCGATAACATCCTGAAGGACAAGGAATATCTTGTTGCTAACAAGCTGTAAGTTGCCAGAAAGCGTTATTATTCGTGAAGCTAACCTCTCCTTTAGTACATATGCTGATCTTGCATTCGTTCCCTGGTCCGCTATCATTACAGCACCCCAGGTCGTCGGCCCCAACTTTAGGGAGAAGTATGAAGTGGACAAGAAGTACCCCAACTTCATGGCCTGGCATGAACGTGTCAACTCTCGCCCCTCCATTGCCAGGGCGCGCGGCGAGAAGTAAGTGGAGCCAAAGAAGCATTGATGGAACAATAGCGAGACGTGCTTGGGTAGAGACTACCGCCAACGGCGGGAAGAACCTCATTCTTTATTGTGATTTAGTGAAATAAAACAGAATAAAAGCCAATTGTCGCAAAATTCGATCGGAGTTCAATCGTCCCAAACGGACGCTTTGGCCTTTTCTTCCTTCTCTTTCTGCTTCTGTTCCTCCTCTTTCTCCTGCTCACGACGCTTTCTTTCTTGCTCCCTTATGGATTTCTGGTAGGCCCTTTGCTCATCCGTTTGCTTGGGAGCTTTGAGTCCAAGGCTGGCAGCAATCATGCGCCTGGCAACAGCATCCGTCTTTTCTGGTCGTCGCGGCCCTGAATCTGCCTGGCTTGAGGATTGGCTTGACCAATTGTCCTGATATTGATTCCCGTATGTGGGGGATATAGGAGTTGGTGGTGGTGCGTTGGTGCCGGCAGAGTGCTCCTTTGTGCCGCTGGCTGTAGGAGTTGAGGACACATCAGCCGCGTCCTCCGAACCCGAGTCGGACACGTCTTCGTCCTCCCAGGAATCTGCTACAACTTCCTTCTTCTTCTTTGCTGCCTTCTTGGGGGCCTTGGTAGATGTGTTTAAAGACAAGGAAGACAATGACTTGGCCACATCCTCCTTTTGGGCCGTCTCCTGTTTGTCTGACATCTTAAGAGAATGCGATTAAAAATAATGATAAGCCAAAAGTGAATGGGGAATAAATTCGGCTGGTTGACCCAAGAATGGGGGATCCAAGAGAAAAGGAAGGGACTGAGGCGGGCTGGCGCTGAGATATAATATTGACTCTTATTCACACAAAGCTTCAATAGTGCCCAACCTAGTCGGGATAAGCTCGGCAGCAGAGGCTTGAGTAGATCCTTTGTCCGGCCTACGTGCCTGGAGCCAGGAAATAGCAATCTGGTCGGGTCTGAAATCTTTGTTGTACTTAGACGAGGAGTTGGAATCCAGTGGGGAATATCATGGTGCCGAGCCCAAGATTTTCCCCGCAATGTAGCCGTGCCTCCTCATCCTTTCGGTGGAGAGCACCTGTGCGACAGCCTCACGTGCCCCTACTGATATAAGTGACCATATCTGACGTCTTATCGTTTGGCACAGCTATGGATAGCAAAATGAACAGAGTCCATCGTTGAGTAAGAAGATGAGGATATAATCCCCTCGTTCTTTGAAGCCCACCGAGCTCACCGATGCCCATGGCAGTTACGCCATCTAGCTGCCTGGCCATGACGCCAGGATAAGCTTCGGCACATCTCACCTCCGACTGATATGACTGCCGTATCTTTTGTGGAGCTTAGATCGGATTGGCGGGGTGCCATTGGCTGCTTGGCCCGAGGCTAGGCCGCGATTGCCAACTGCAAGCATCCGCAATTTTCAAACATTTGGTTGTCCATGGAAGCTCGCCGACATCGTCGAAATTCATTAGTAAGGCGCCTCCACTACGCCATAATGCTTGCATGACTGGCCGGCTCTCGCCTTCAACCTCCTCAGTCGTCCAATTCCTTCTCCCTCGCCCATCCTCTCGCCATTGCTCTCTCCAATTACTCCTCGACACGAATACCACCTCGGACTTGGTCACCGGCGATCGCAGTTTAGCTCCGAGCGGCAAAGGAATCAGCAAGTCGTTACCTGAAGCTCTCGCTGCTCGGTGACCATGATCCCACGATCCCGCGTCACCGGCCGCCTGCTCCTCGAGAACTCGGTCGGCCGCTCCGTCAAAGCTTCAGCCCTATCGAATTCTCGCAGACAATGGCTCTCAAACCCCTCCCATAGCTTTCCGGCTGCCCGGCGCCTCGAAGCCGCTCGATCGACATGGGTACAGGCTCCTTTCTCCACCAGTGCGAGGTTAGGCAAGGAGCGAGACAAGGACAGCAAAGCTAAGAGCTTCTTTGACTCTTCTGTCGAGGCGAATTCCGAGAAGTCCGCAGAAGAGGAGGCAAAGGCGGCCCAGGATAAGAAGAAGGATTTGGAGGAGAAGACGGACCCAAAGAGCTCCGCGGCCGAGTCGCAAGTATCTGCCAAGTCTGAAAGCAGTGGTAACTCACAGGATGGTAAAGCTGCCAGTGCCGCTGGTGGAGCTGCCGGAGGCGATGGTAACAGCGGCGATGGCGGAAAGAAGGGTCGAAAGGCTTCAGAACGAGCGCTTTCCAAACCTGTTGTCCCCGACGTATACCCCCAGGTTCTGGCAATCCCCATAGCAAGGCGACCGCTATTCCCTGGATTTTACAAGGCCATCACCATCAAAGACCCCGAAGTCGCTACGGCCATTACGGAATCGATCAAGCGCGGCCAGCCATATGTTGGCGCATTCCTCTTCAAGGACGAGAACCAGGACGATGACGTGATCCGAAATGTGGACGATGTCTACGATGTCGGTGTTTTCGCTCAGATCACAAGCGCATTCCCCATCCATGGCCAGGAGGGTGCCTTGACAGCTATCCTGTACCCCCACCGAAGAATCAAGTTATCGAGTCTTGTGGCGCCGTCGACAGTTCCAGAGACCAAGAAGAGCGACCCTAAGGCCGAACCACCAACCCCCGAGCCGGTACCTCAGAAGCCCGCACCCGAGGAGACCCAATCAGAGAAGAAGGGAGATGTCGTTGCAAGCTTTGAGGAGGGCGCCGTCGAGAAGAAGCCTGACCAGGTTGCTGAGAAGTACGAGCCCACGTCGTTCCTCAAGCGCTATGCTGTCAGTCTTGTCAATGTAGAGAACATGGTCGAGGAGGCTTTTGACCCCAAGAGCCCCGTCATTCGAGCTGTAACAAATGAGATTGTCAATGTCTTCAAGGAGGTGGCTACCATGAACAACCTCTTCCGTGACCAGATTTCCACTTTCTCGATGAGCCAGTCAACAGGCAATGTCACATCCGAGCCTGCCAAGCTGGCCGACTTTGCGGCTGCGGTCTCATCTGGGGAGCAGACTGAGCTTCAAGAGGTTCTCGCCTGCATGAATGTTGAGGAAAGGATGCAGAAGGCCCTCACCGTCCTCAAGAAGGAGCTCATGAATGCGCAGTTGCAGTCTAAGATTACCAAGGATGTCGAGCAGAAGATCAGCAAGCGCCAGCGCGAATACTGGCTCATGGAGCAAATGAAGGGTATTCGCAGGGAGCTTGGGCTCGAATCGGATGGCAAGGACAAGCTTGTGGAGAAGTTCAAGGACAAGGCAAACAAGCTCGCTATGCCTGATGCAGTCCGAAAGGTGTTCGACGAGGAGCTTAACAAGCTTGCCCACCTGGAAACAGCCGCATCAGAGTTCAACGTCACGAGGAATTATCTGGACTGGCTCACACAGATCCCTTGGGGTCAGAGGAGCCCAGAAAACTTTGGTATCCCCAATGCACAGAAGGTTCTGGACGAAGACCACTACGGTTTACAAGATGTCAAGGATCGCATCCTCGAGTTCATCGCTGTCGGAAAACTTCGAGGCACAGTCGAGGGCAAGATTCTTTGCTTCGTGGGACCCCCTGGTGTCGGAAAGACCAGTATCGGAAAGTCCATTGCTCGTGCGCTGAATCGCGAGTACTACAGATTCAGTGTGGGAGGTCTTACCGATGTTGCTGAGATCAAGGGTCACCGAAGAACGTACGTTGGAGCATTACCCGGTCGTATTATTCAAGCATTGAAGAAATGCCAGACCGAGAACCCACTTGTGTTGATTGACGAGGTGGATAAAATCGGAAAGGGATATCAAGGAGATCCATCCTCTGCCTTGCTCGAACTTCTCGACCCTGAGCAGAATGGTTCTTTCTTGGACCACTACCTGGATGTTCCTGTGGATCTCTCTAAAGTATTGTTTGTCTGCACAGCAAATATGACCGATACCATTCCCCGACCGCTGCTGGATCGTATGGAGCTGATTACGCTCTCTGGTTATGTTGCGGACGAGAAGAAGGCCATTGCTAACAAGTATCTCGCGCCAGCAGCTAAAGAGTCCGCTGGTTTGGCGAATGCTGATGTCAACCTGACCGAGGAGGCTATCGAGGAGCTCATTAAGTCGTACTGCCGTGAATCTGGTGTGCGTAACTTGAAGAAGCAGATTGAGAAGGTGTACCGTAAATCTGCGCTCAAGATTGTCCAGGAGCTGGGCGAGGACGTTCTTCCTGAGGAGGAAGCCTTGACCAAGGAGGGCAAGTCCGCTCTGGAAGAGTCCAGCAAGAAGTCTGACGCTGCTGAGGAGACCGCCGGAAAAGCACAGCCATCCACCGAGGCCACCGAGGGCGAGACCACAGAGAAGCCTCGCAGAGCCTTGAAGGTTCCCGATACGGTCCACGTGCAGATTGGCAAGGATAACCTGACTGACTACATCGGGCCACCGGTGTTCACATCAGACCGTCTATACGAAGTCAGCCCCCCGGGTGTCGCTATGGGCCTGGCCTGGACACAGATGGGAGGCGCCGCCATGTACATCGAATCTATTCTTCAGTCACCACTGCGACCCAGCTCGCGGCCCGGGCTGGAGATTACCGGCAACCTCAAGAATGTGATGAAGGAGTCTACCACCATTGCCTACTCCTTTGCCAAGGCCTTCGGAGTCAAGCAGTTCCCCAACAACAACTTCTTCGACAAGGCCAAGCTGCACCTGCACGTGCCCGACGGTGCCGTCCCCAAGGATGGCCCATCAGCCGGTATTACAATGGCTACTTCACTGCTGTCGCTCGCACTCGAGGCTCCCGTAAACCCTACTGTGGCTATGACTGGAGAGCTCACCCTGACGGGTAAGGTCCTCCGCATCGGTGGTTTGAGGGAGAAGACGGTGGCCGCCAGACGAGCAGGCTGCACTACTATTATCTTCCCTAGAGACAACCTGTCGGACTGGCTGGAACTCCCAGAGGTATGTCGTCTTCATCTTTATTCTTTACTGTATACACTAAGCGCTCTTGGCTAACAATTTTCTCTACTCTAGAATATCAAGGAGGGCATCGAAGGCCACCCCGTCGAGTGGTACAATGAAGTGTTTGAGCTGGTCTTCCCCAACCTCGACAAGGAGGCTGCCAACACGTGTAAGATTATCGAAGACAAGAAGTCAGAAAAGTCAGAGGACAACGAATAAACGAAACGGTGTATTCTAATTTCAGGGAAAATACTAAACTTAAAAACGGCGCCTGGCAAATTTCACGCAAGTGGAAGATGCATTAAATAGGGCCTTGTACGAGGTTGGGGGGTGTCATTTAAAGACGATATCATATGCATATTATATATAAAGCTTTACTCCGGCGTCTTTCTAACATACCTAGGGAGAGAAGGGGGGGCTTGGGTCGGGCGTTTCGATGGGGGCATCTTAGCCAGAGCAGCTGCATTGAATTGAATGCAAAGCGAACAACTCCTATTCTGTTTATAGCATATTCGGCTCCCGGTCATCAATCAGGCTTGCATTGTGACTTGTTACGTATGTCGCACATGAAGAATTGTGCATGCAGAATTACACGACTGTTACGAGGCGGCTGGCATTTCGCTTAAGCTTGCGAGAGCCAATTCCGATTCTTCTTACCTTGCTGATAGTTGTACACCCGTCAAGATCTCCAGGCACGCGCGCCACCGAGTAATGCCGTGACTGTGATGCGTCATGTGAAGTTCCGATATGCGGGCGTGTTGCAGAAGCCAGGCTTCTGTCAGATTGTTGTTTGACTCATTCCAATCCTCCTGCCTGGCCTGGGACTCAATGGCAGCGCTAGTGGTCAATTTACAGGTATAAACTTGGCTGCTATAGTTTGAGGCTTTCGAGGCCTGGTCCTGGGGAGCTAATGGGCGATCATGGCAAGGACGTGGTGGGGGAGCAGGCGGGACGAGCCTAGGTCAGCGGCCACAGGAAAGCTAGCGCTCGGCGAGGGATTTCCATTCCCATCGTGTAAGCGTAGCGGGAGAGGCCGGAAGGGAGAAAGCGCGATGGTTGACTCCCAAGTGGTGATGGGAGTTGTATGCATGTTGGCCTAATCTCGAGACTTGTCGTTTTGGCTCGCCTGGAACTGAAATCGCGATGACCTCATTTCCCTTTGCATTTGCTTGGCTTGGCCCCATCGTCTCGATAGCGTCTTTTTTTTTCCGCTGGGTCTGAGTGATTCTGGCCTGGCCTGGGTTATCAACGGCCCTGATCACAGCTATGGCCATTTCAGGTATCATTGCTGAGGGATCACCGATGGCCCCAGATTGCGACTCGGAGCTCTGGGAGAGAGGAGAGGGATTAACACCGTGATGCTCGATCGTGAAACGAATGGTGTCCCATTCCCGACGACCAGGACAAGCTGCGTGATGGATGCAGCCATGCCCAACCCCCGCCGCGCAAATGGCGAAGGAGGCCTGCATCTAGGGCCATCGTGGTGGCAGGCCAGCTTTGGCCCGGAAGAGCAGCTCAGCATGACGACTGTGAGGCGGTCGAGAACGGAGAATTGATGAATGGAGGCGGGTGATCAGGAGGGGAACTGCTACGTGCTACGGTGTGTATGGGGCATGTATGTGTGACGTGGTAAAACGCGAGCCGTTGAGATTCGGCGCTGGTAGAAAAGCGAGGGGCTCAGAGGGGTCCAATGTAGGGAGGTAATTACTCTCCAGGATGGTGTTGAGATGGAGTGCTGTGCTGGCTCCAGTACCGACGTGTATAACGTTGGCACGCTGCCGGGATGCGATGGGCTGATCCACGAACGGACCCAGTTGGCGAGTTGTATTGACGGAGGAGAGAAGCGGAGGAGAGCGATGGAGAAAAGAGGAGAGACGAGTAGCTAGTGCTGCACCGGCTGGCCCAGAAGGGCTTGACTAGCACGACGGTCATAATATTACAGAAATGACAAGTTGCTGGTGGCCTCGCCCGACTTGCTGATTGATGCCTAAGAAGAGAGGCGAGCAGACGACTCGAGTGCAATCAATGGCAGAGAATTGCCGTGGGAATGCCCCATCGAGCTGACACCGGGCAAAACGTGGAAGAGCATCTTGGGCTCCCATCGTCCGCTCTGTGGAAGGATTGGCCTGGCCTTTATTAGGCATCGTTTTCATCTGGCCAATACAGGGGGACAATGCGGTGAGGCGTGCTTCGTCCCGTATCCTCGCATCACAGCAGTAAAAGGTCAGGGAGTTGGGTCTCTGAATAGCAACAGCAGCTCAACGATCCGAGATGCGGCCATCTGTTTGGTCAGATCTACACACCGACCATCCTGCTGGCATCGGTTCTGTATCCATTCCTCCACTCGTTGGCGTTCACCGTCACCATCGGAGGGTTCATTCAAGGGCAGCTAGCTCGAAGCCAAGCAAGGGGATTTGTCCACACACCGCTGGAGCACTTGCAGGAGGCCGCATGTCGGCGACCTCATCCCTCTTGTCCCTGGAGTCGGATGTCTGCCGTTTCAAACTCTTGCCGCCTGAGTTGTTGGGCATAGCCGTTGCGATGCTCTTTGGGTAGCGACGGAGGTTCCCGCGTATACTTGCCTCAATGCCAGTAGAAGTTAGTAGGGCTGAGCTTCCAGCCGCCCCCTCACTCAGCTTATCTGACAGGGGCGGCCCTAAACAATGCCTTTGTGCGCTCTCCGTCCATTATGGGCTCTGTTTGACTACCCGCCCCCAGTGCGCGTGGCGGTGGAAAATGGGGTTGTAAAGGGAAATGGCAATGGCAGCCAAAAGGGAGGTTGGTGGGGGGCTGGTACCTTTGTGGCTGCCCAATAGCGCAACGCTGGGCTGAAGACTCTAAGGGTCAGGTTCCCGTCCCACCCGCTGTGGATGATCCTAGCTTCAGGCTGTGGTGGTCGTCGTTTAGCGCGCCGAGACGGTGGTAGCAGTAATGGATGAGGTCAGTGAGATTGACTTCCAGGGTCCTGTCCTGCTAATGTCAGAGTCAACGCCGCTGTAGCTCGCCAAATAAGGATATACAATGTTCGGCAGACCATCAGGTGGCCTAGCTTTGCTGTTGAGCCACACCATTCGTCGCCAAGCAGCCCCTCGGATTCCGTCCTTCATCACGATCCTCCTCCACTCTCCAAACGCCAGAACATCCGTCGCCATTGCCTGCTCTTGCCCGTCTTGCCGCCCTGCTTTTCATCTCTGTTCTAGACTGTTTCCTCCCAGTGCCAGACACACCCGTGTTCTGCAGCCGCGCCCTATCCTGGTCCAGCCTAATTCACACCCCCATGCGCTCCGTTTAGCCTGGCATGAATTAATTCATGACTGCGTGGATCAACTTGATATGAGATGGTCTCGTCGCTGGCATTCGGCACCCTTCGTCCTCGCCCATTCTCGCCCCCCATTCTCATTGTGCAAACATAAGTCGGCATCCTTCCAGCAGGCGCCCATTCAGCTCTCGCTCTGAGACAAATCAGCGTGCTTCATCATCTGCATTCGCCTGCATCCCGGCCGGCGGTTCGCCACGAACAGCACCCCGCCTTTACTGCACGCACCTCCACCGGCCAAAGACATACCACCAGATATATACAGACTTGCATACAGCATAGACCTCCCAAATCTATGGAGTCTAGGGCACCTCACTCTCATATCCAGCACTACCATCAGTTAAAGGCGATAGGCAGCCTCACTTCGTCAGCCGCCTATCTCTAGGTCAGCCCCGTCGTCGCATTGCGAGTCGGGTCTTGACCGTCATTTGAAATTCGTCACCTCAGAATGGCTCAGCCGGAGGGCCCACAGTCCGAGCCACCGCCAACGACAGCTCAGAGGATTGCTCGCAAGTTGTTCGGAGGCAAGCGCTCATCTCTTCATCCCACGGATTCTCATGACGACGACAATGAGCTCGCCGGGCCGGGCAAAGGCAGCCACCCGCGCGGCTTCAAAAGTGTGGTGCCTGGGCTTCCCCGACAACAGACCTTGAAGCGCCAACAGTCTGAGAGTCGAGTTCATTTGGTTCCGGTTAAAACAACATCGGACGAAAGACGAGCTGCATCAATGGACCGCCGCTCATATGTCTTCAGGCAGAGTGAGCCATTCCACGGAGGCCCCGTCCTTCCACGGCCGACGTCTTCGTGCTCCTATGGGATGATCCCTCCTGATGCCCCGGAACTTTACCCTGGCCACCTGGACGACCTTTATGACAACGTCGCCGATGGAGTCGACGGAGTTGATCAATTTCATCTGCCCCCTGATGCCCTTTCTGACGTTCACTCCATCGCCCCTTCCCACAATGAAGTCATTCGCCATGAGCTGGAAACAAGGTGGATTCTTAATTTGAGTATGCACTTCAAGGACCACTCCGACCGAGAGAAGTTCTTCGTCACATATCGCCAAACTGAATATGACTGGAAGCGCATCACCATTTCTCTCGACTACAGCAACGCCCCCAACCATTCTCTGGAGATGACGCTGAGCCAGATAAGGTATCAGAAGGACAAGAGCGCCCGGATATACGAGGCCATTCGCGATAGCCTCCCCGATATACAGTTTTACGACACAGTTACGAACCTCAAGTTGGAAACATTGGGTGACCGGCTACATATTCATGTGGTCGAGGATGGAAATGTGAGTGGTCTCACATTGGGGTTGGAGGAGATGATGACTCTATTATTCTTTATTTCCCCCTTCCCGTGATGCTAACTAGATGTCTCCTAGGAAATCATAGAGTATCCCTCAGTTAGTCAAGTGGCGCACTTGGATTGCCGCCACATCAGGGAGACGGACATCCACTTTGACTCGCACATGTCTGGTTTTGTTTACAAAGTCAATGTGGGAAATACGGTGCTCATCAAGAAGGAGATCCCCGGCCCGGATACGATACAAGAATTCCTCTACGAAGTCAACGCCCTCAATAGTCTAATGGACTCGGATCACGTCATTGATTTCTATGGACTCGTGGTGGACGAGCATGACGAATATGTCAAGGGGCTCCTCATAGGCTATGCTCATCATGGTGCTTTGGTAGATATTATTTATGATCTATGCAGGGACAGTAATCAGGGTTTAGGTTGGCCTTTGAGGGAGAGATGGGCTCAGCAAATCATCCAAGGTCTCGCAGATGTACACGAGTCTGGTTTCGTACAGGGTGACTTTACGCTTTCCAACATTGTTGTGGACGAAAACCATGATGCCAAACTCATCGACATCAACAGGAGGGGATGTCCGGTCGGC